GGAAAAACACCCTTGTGTGACAGTCTATTTGATGGTATCAAAGATGAACTAGATAATACTTAGCCCTGCCATGAGTGCAGGGGATTAGACTAGATAACCTCTCGCAGTCCCGTTCAGGCCTATGATAATTACTGTCCTCTTTGGTAAGAGTGAAAAAGTTGGTTGAGATGAGCTGGAGCTGTTGTTGTTGCTACTTCTGTTAAAGTCCTAAACTGTCCCTTTGGGGAAAAGAAAAGTTAGTGGAGATTAATGACAGCAGCAGCAGCTCCAGTTTAAATCCAATCTCGTTTCATCTCAGTTGGTTGTTGGGATTCAGCTGGAGCTGCTATGGGTGGCGATGTTGTCTGGCTCAGTCTGGTCAGGACATTGCTCACGGTTAGGGTAACAGAGGCCCAGAAACCCAGGAGATGGTGGGGGTGACAGCCATGATGGCAAAGTTCGCTTCCATTTGTTCTTCCCTCTGTTCTTTCTTATTTTCTTCCCCAAATCTCTTTCTTTAAGGACCCTTAAAGGGAATGGTGGGTAAAATAGCTGTTGTAATAACTGGCCCTACAACTTTACCAACTCTAAAAAGTATATGAAAGTTCTAAGATGTTACCTGCCATAACAGATGTTAATGAAAGTAGGTCAAATTGTTTTCAGTAATGAATGTTTATTATTTAGTCCACTAGTTAGGGCTAGTTTCTGACATACCAATTTTGGTTACTTACTTTCTGGTTCCACATCATCAGTTTACCAAGCATGATTTTAACATAGTCCTTGAGTTATATCAAAGTTGCCTTTTTGTTTAGGCTAATTCAGTTTTTCTGTCTCCCTTTTGTATCTTGTCCCATTAACATTTGTTGTTATAGGTTAGTCACATATTATGAACATATATATACTTATTACAGTTGAGCTAACAATTAAGAGTAAATTTATAGGCCTAATTATTACAACAGGCCTTCAGATTTACTCAGAGATCTTTTTGACTTGACTTTGCTTCTCTTTTCGCATGTGAGCACTGCAATGCAGATACATAACAGAAATGGTGCCTGCCTGACCATGCTGGAGACTGAAGCAGTCTAGCCACAGAAGAAGGTACTGTATGGGCAGCTGCAGCACAGAACTTCACTTCACCCTCTCGCATGCCTCAATCATATTTTGGAAGGATCCCATCAAAGGGAATTCAATTACTGTGGCCCATTTAGTCCTTGGTCTGTCCATTGAGCCTGCTGACAAAGCGGTGTTTTTTTTGTGATATGAAAACCTCTGAATTAGGAACTGGGCTGAGTTGGTTTAAAAAACACACAATGCTCATTTCACATGAAAACCAGAGCCACAGAATAGAAACTACTTTTGGTTACTACTAACAGTAGCCAGATCTGAACAGCTGATTGGAGGTGAAGGAGTCCATATTATTACTGACCCTCTCTGTAAATGAATGGTGGTTATGATTAAATAGAGCTCAAAAGGAGAAGGAGTGCAAAGACTCAGCAGCTGGAAAGGAAAGGTTTGTATGACATGGCACATGGCACACTCCATCTAGAACCTAAATATTAAGACTCCTTGCTTAACTGCACAGTATCTTCCAGCCATGAGTCACTCACATTTTACAAAGATAAGACGACTATCTGGGCAGAACAGGAAAGATCCCTGCTACTTTTGAGGGAAAATCTCTTCCTCAGCCCAAGCCTGGTATGTATTGCCATTTCAGAGCATATCATTCTTCATCTGATCTGGCTCATTAACAGGAACTACAGATACTGTGGTGATGGGTGCTCATAGAAGAGCCCTGATATACAGAACTTACAGCCCATGCGGAGGTCCTGATGAGTCCACTCGACCTACAGCTGAAGAGAGATAAATCAGCAAAACACAGTGGGCATGAGCATGGAGCATAAACTAGGAGCAATTATGGTAAATGAAGAAAAGGCATCAAGAGTCTCCTGTGGCCAACATGCTATGACTACCCAAGATGGGAGATTAGACAGAAACGGATAATGGTAGGCGGAATATCAGGAACACCTCCTAGTGAGGAGACCCAGGCTGTGGAATGGTTTCCAGGAAGTAACTGGAGACATTTCAAACTACAGTGGAAAAAAATCTAGAAATGATATGGCAGGGCTCAGTACTGCACAGTCCCAAGGGATGGATGAGACAAACTTGAAGATTTTGAGATTCAAAAAACTAGTAAAGCAGCATTTGCTGCTGATTTAACTTGTTCAAGGAAGACAATATTTGTAACCTTCACTTTTAAGGCAGAGTGAGACGGGGGATGTGCTCCACTAATATTGCTGATGTGTTGCTACAGCATCCCTAGATTTATGTAAACGGTAAAGACAAATTATCCCATGTGCCGATGCTTTCCATGCGTTGGCAACAGCCGCTAGAGACCAGTTCAAGGGAGCATGCTAAGAGAATAGCTACAACAGCCAATCTTTTCACTATAAGGATGGAAGAGTCCTTTCCACCTGGCTAGTCTGTGAAGTCTAGTCCTTGTGGAAGCTGGGCTCGTTTTGGACTGTCTCATATTGAAGGGGTGTACAGCTGGAGCTGAGGATTCTGAGAGTCTTGGCACCATTATTAACAATTACAAACACTGACGGTTGGAAATAGCCAGTCAGGTGAGCTGCAGCTACTGCCTATACTACGCAAAATGTGCTGTTTTACTTGTCTTCATCTACCCACAATCCGTCTATCTGTTTAATCCATCTGTTGCATCTTTTCATAATCCCATAACGAGAGAGTTCTCAGGAACTCTCTTATTACTTATTTAACACCACATAGCAAAATGAGGTACTGGTCCTTGATTGGGACCCCTAAGGTAGGCATTCTTGCAATACAAAACAAATAACAAACAACAATAATAATGGGAAGGAGCCGAGCTGGCTGACAGTATTAGCTGTTACCAAAGATGTTCTTTTGGGTCTTGCCACCAGCGTAATAGCAAGCAATAAAACTAGGGCTAAGGCTCAATTTTGTCCCAGCCAGTCAGCTCTTACCAGCCATGTCTGGGGAATGGGTGAAATTGAAGGTGGGCGTCTCCTCACCACTGCTGAGATCAGACAGATCTAGACAGCACTTTGGCGTGTCCCTGCAACAACACATCAAAATCCAAAGTATCAGGGGATGGGGGAAATTGTGACATTTTTGTAAATCAGCATGTAGACATCAAGGTATGAGACTGCACTGGATCCAACAGCAGGATCTCCGTCAGGACTCTTTTCTGCATCATGCACCCACTTTACCTTCCCCAGCCCTATCAGAGCCTGAGTTTTGTGAGCCATTTCGGGAGGTCTTGAGGGTGCCTTTATAAAAAGATGGATCCTTTCAGCCTGGGATGGCTCCTCGGGCTCCAGACAGGTTTAGTGGCCATGCTATTCACACCAAGAGACTTTTTTTTTTTTTTTTTAAATGAGAAGCCCTCCCAGAGTTTCTTGCAGGAACGTACTAGGACAGAGAGTTTTATAGTCCTTTTGGTTCCTTTTGAGCAGGCCTTGCAGACATCACAACCTTTAGACTAAAGTGGTTTTCAACACAATGATGCAAACACTAAACAGCAAGAAAATCCTAAATTTAGGCCTGAATTTATCAACCCTCCCCCCAGGCATCAAGAGCAAACTGCTGACCCAATCCCTGTAGTAGGAGCTCTAGCGGGTGTGCACATCCTGACTCAAGCTGAGCAAAGAGACTCTCTTACCCCCCAGCTTCTTTCCCAATGCGACTTGCACTACTTGCGCCCCTCGCCCTGCTCTGGGGATATCAGAAGCACGATTCGGTCTCTGCCTGCTGGGCAGCCCGAGCGGCAGGCGGACGAAACGCCCGCGGAATTCAGCAAAACACCAAGCGGAGCCTGTGCACGGCCCGGCTCTGCTAGGGGGCGCTCGCCGGCAGGGCGGGCGCATGGCAGACTTCGGTCCCGTCGGGGCGGAGGCCGAGGCCGAGGCCGAGCCCGCCCCCCGGCACCGCACTGGTCCCTGGGTCTGTTGCGCATCCCAGCGACCAGGCCGGGGATTCTCCCCGCGCGGCCCCAGCGCCCGCGGCGGCGAGGCGGGATTTACCCAGCCACGGTGCTGAGGTTCCTAAAGCCCCGAGCGAGGTCGGTGACCGGGGTGCGGGGCGGCTCCGGGGTGAAGGGCAGGGAGACCTCCGTAGCCCGCAGCGAGTTCAGCACCATCCTGCAGCGGGCTCGGAAGCCGAGACGCGAGCGGGCGCCGCCGGGTCCCGCGGGGGAGAGATTCCCGGCCATGACACCACGGGACCGCCACCTGGGAGCACACAAGCCGGGTCACCCGCGGCAACTGCCCGCGCCCGCGGCCCGAGCCCAGGGCATCCGGCGCCCTCGGGTCACGCCCCGCCCGGGACAGGCTCACGCCGGAGCCGGAGCCGCGGCCAGTCCCCGGGTCCCCCCAGCCGGCGGTGCCGCCCCGCGCCTATTGCCCCGCCCCCGGCCGCGCCCCGCCGCGCCCCACCCATCGCTGCTCCGGTCTCGCCCCAGTCCCCGGGTCCCCCGCCCCCACCCACCCGACGACCGCCGGCGGTGCCCCCGCCCCCATTGCCCGCCCCTATTGCCCCGCACCCCCCGCGCCGATCGTTCCCCCCCCCCCCCCCCCCCCCCCCCGCCCCGCCACCGCCCCCGCGCCGATCGCTGCTCCGGTCTCGCCCCAGTCCCCGGGTCCGCAGACTTGAATGAAAATAGAACAGGGGGAACTTAAACCTGCCGCCGGATCCCAGCCAATCACAGAGATTGTTGCCGACTGTAGCCAATCAGGGTGACCGGGGGACGGGACCAAACACACAGCCGCTCTCTGATTGGGTAATGTCCGCGCGACTCAAACGAAGTGAGAACCTATTGGGGGAGAGAATGGTGGACGGGACGTTTGCTCTTGATATTGGACGGATGGAAGGGGTTCCGCCCACATCTAGCGCTTATTGGCTCCGTGAAGCCAATCACCGCCCCGAGGGCACGTGATTCATGGGGGCGCGGTCGGTAATTATGAGTGTGGGGGAGTCCCCCCCGTTCGACAGGCAAAGCCCAGCCTGGTGACGTGTTAGTGCGCACGCGCACGCCAGTGCTCATGCTGCCCGCGCCCCGCGCGCTGGGTGGCCGGGAGCCGCTGGCCCGCAGGTAGCGGGCGCCGCAGGTGTCCCGGGGGTGACCTGGGCCGAGCCCGCGCCCGCGCCGCCCTGTTCCCGCGCAGCCGCCCCCGGAGCCCGTCGCTCGCTCCGCGGGGAGCCGGGCGGCCCCGGGCGGCGGGGACAGCCCCGGGCCGGTGGAGACGGGCCGGTGTCTGCCCCAGGGACTCCTCGGCGGGGCTGCGCTCGGTCGGAGACGGGGTTTCTCCAGCCGCTGACGGGCGGCGCCCCCCCCCCGGCTGCCCCCCCATCCCCGGCGCCGCCCCCCCCCCCCGCGGGCCCCGCGCTGTGCCGGAGGGCGGGCGGTGCACTCTGCGAACCTGGCAGACGCCCCCCCCCCCGGCTGCCCCCCATCCCCGGCTGCCCCCGCGGGCCCCGCGCTGTGCCGGAGGGCGGGCGGTGCACTCTGCGAACCTGGCAGACGCCCCCCCCCCGGCTGCCCCCCATCCCCGGCTGCCCCCGCGGGCCCCGCGCTGTGCCGGAGGGCGGGCGGTGCACTCTGCGAACCTGGCAGACGCCCCCCCCGGCTGCCCCCCCATCCCCGGCTGCCCGCCCCGCGCCCCCGGGCCCCGCGCTGTGCCGAGTGCGGGCGTGCACTCTGCGAACCTGGCAGACGCCCCCCCCCCGCGCCCCCACTGCCCCCCATCCCCGGCTGCCCGCCCCGGCGGCCCCCCCCCGCGGGCCCCGCGCTGTGCCGGAGTGCGGGCGGTGCACTCTGCGAACCTGGCAGACGCCCCCGCTGCGCGCTGTGGAGCGGGGCCCGGCTCGCCGGCCGGTGCTGGTTCGTGGCGGGGGCTGCGAGGCGCTAAATGCCCGTGAACAGCGAACGCGCCTGAACCTCGGTGATCGAGGCGGCTCTGCTCCCTGTCGGTGGCTCCCGGGCTTCGGGCAGGGTCAAGAGGGGCAGGAACAGGGCTGGCCTGACGCCTTGTTTGCATTACTGCCTGTTGGCGGTGCTCTTTAGCCCCCGTCTCGCTTGGCTGACGGCCCCCTTTAGGCTCCGGCAAACTAATTTGGAGGCTTTGTCACCCGGAGCCCTTTGGCTGCTCCCCCTTGGGGTGGAACCCTTCTTGGAAGCTCCGTTTTTAGCTGGCGCAATTTAGGAAAGAGAATTCTGTCCCGTGCAGGCACTGACAGCAGGAGTAGGTGTTTTCTGTGGGCCAAGGGTAGGATGGGTCCCTGAGCTAGCTGCTTTGTAGGGAAGGGTTGTGAGCTCTGTCTAGGGTGGAGAATTGATTTTCTTCCATAACTGGCATACAGTTCTCTGTTTCATGACCCTCTTGTTGTGGGATGTGAGGAGCCTGCCTCTGGAACAGCGTCTTTATGTGAGAGAGACAGGTGGGTGGAAACGCACATGATATGCAGAAGCTTTCTGTCTAGATTATACATAGTTAACAGACATTTGACTCTGGCCTTGGAGATAAAAAGCATATAATTAATGGGGCAAGGATCCCAAAGAGAAAAGGGAGCTGGTGGTGACAAATGTCTCTATTTAGGATTATTACTGTGGTTTCAAGGGAGAGCATGATGTTTAATGTAGTGAGCGCATGGGAGGAAGAATGAGCAATTTGTGCTGGAACACACCAAGAGTGAGTTGGATGGCCGGGGGCATAAGAACAGCCATACTGCGTCAGACCAAAGGTCCATCTAACCCAGTATCCTGTCTTCCGACAGCAGCCAATGCCAGGCACCCCAGAGGGAATGAACAGAACAGATAATCATTCATCCTTCATCCATCCTGTAGCCAATTCCCAGCTTCTGGCAGACAGAGGATCGGGACACCATCCTTCCCATCCTGTCGAATACCCATTGATGCACCTATCCTCCATAAACTTATCTAGTTCTTTTTTGAACCCTGTTATAGTCTTGGGCTTCATAACATCCTTTGGGAAGAAGTTCCGCAGGTTGACTGTGTGTTGTGTGAAAAAATACTTCCTTTTTTTTGTTTTTAAACCTGCTATCTATTAATTTTGTTTGGTGACCCCTAGTCCTTATGTTATGACAAAGAGTAAATAACACTTCCTTATTTACTTTCTCCACACTAGTCGTGATTTTATAGACCTCGATCATATCCCTCCTTCATCATCTCTTTTCCAAGCTGAATAGTCCCAGTTTTATTAATCTCTTGTCATGTGGACCACTCCATCCCCCTAATCATTTTTGTTGCCCTTCTCTGTACTTTTCCTAATTCCAATATATCTTTTTGAGATGGGGCGACCACATCTGCACGCAATATACAAGATGTAGGGGTACCATGGATTTATATAGAGGCAGTATGATCTTTTCTGTCTTACCATCTATTCCTTTCTTAATGATTTCCAACATTCTGTTTGCTTTTTTGACTGCCGCTGCACATTGAGTGGATGTTTTCAGAGAACTATCCACTATCACTCCAACATCTTTCTTGAGTGGTAACAGCCAATTTAGACCACAGCATTTTATATGTATAATTGGGATTATGTTTTTCAATGTCCATTACTTTGCATTTATCAACACTGAATTTCATCTGCTATTTTGTTGCCCAGTCACCCATTTTTGTGAGTTCCCTTTGTAAGTCTTCACCACTATTCACCCCTCTCCATTCTGAAAACTGACCATTTATCCTACCCTTTGTTTCCTATCTTTTAGCCAGGTTTCAGAGGGGTAGCTATGTTAGTCTGTATCAGTTAAAACAACGAGGAGTCTTTGTGGCACTTTGGAGACTAACAAATTTATTTGGGCATAAGCTTTTGTGGGCTATAACCCACTTCATCAGATGCATGGAGTGGAAAATACAGTAAACATGTATAAATAAATTCAATCAAGGTGGATGTGGCCCATTCCCAGCAGTTGACAAGAAGGGGTGAATATCAACAGAGAGGAAATTATTAATAATACCTTTTAAATATTATTTAATTTATAATTAATTTCCCCTCTGTTGATATTCACCCCTTCTTGTCAACTGTTGGGAATGGGCCACATCCACCGTAATTGAATTGGCCTCGTTAGCACTGACCCCCCACTTGGTAAGGCAACTTTCATCTTTTCATGCGCTGTATATTTATACCTGCTTATTGTATTTTCCACTCCATCTTGATCATCCAGTTGGCCTACTGGGTATTTAGCAGGCTTCCTGCTGCTGATGTGTTCAAAATTTTTTTTGCTATTACTTTCTGAGTCTTTGGCTAGCTGTTATTCAAATACTTTTTTGGCCTTCCTAATTATATTTTTACACTTCATTTGCTAGGGTTTATGTTCCTTTCTATTTTCCTCACTAGGATTTAAGTTCCACTTTTTAAAGGATGACTTTTTGCCTCTCACTGCTGCTTTTGCTTTGTTTAGCCACAGTGGCACTTTTTTGGTTCTCTTACTTTGTTTTTTAATTTGGGATACACATTTAAGTTGAGCCTCTATTATGGTGTCTCTAAAAAGTTTCCATGCAGCTTGCAGGGATTTCACTTTTGGCGCTGTACCTTTTAATTTCTGTTTAACTAACCTCCTCATTTTCATGTAGTCCTCCTTTTCTGAAATTAAATGCTACGGTGTTGGGCTGCTGTGGTGTTTTCCCGCCAGAGGGATGTTAAATTTAATTATATTATGCTCACTATTACCAAGCAGTCCAGCTATAGTCACCTCTTGGACCAGATCCTGTGCTCCACTTAGGAGTAAATCAAGAATTGCTTCTCCTTGTGGGTTCCAGGACTAGCCGCTCCAAGAAGCGGTCATTTACGGTGTCAAGAAACTTTATCTCTGCATCCCGTCCTGAAGTAACATGTATCCAGTCAATGTGGGGATAGTTGAAATGCCCCATTATTATTGAGTTTTTTATTTTAATAGCCTCTCTAATCTCCCTGAGCATTTCAGTCACTATCATCATCCTGGTCAGGTGGTCGGTAATATATCCCTACTGCTATTTTCTTCTTATCAGAGCATGGAATTACTACCCATAGAGATTCTGTGGTACAGTTTGTTTCATTTAAGATTTTTACTTCATTGATTCTATGCTCTCTTTCGCATATAGTGCCATTCCCTCACCAGCACGACCTGGTTCGCTGACTCAGATACCCCTCTTCTCCCAGTCTCCTTCCTTGCCCAGAATTCCCATTGTTGCTCTGTGGAAAGTGGCACTACATATCCCAGTAGAAATGTTGCTGTTGCAGAGTGGAACTCTTGGGTTTAATCTCCCAGTGGCCTTGTAGACACTCAGCAGTCCTGAGAGAGTATGTGAAGCTATGGTAAGATGTGGGGCTATAGATTTAGTTATGTCACATTGCTTAGTTGTCCTATATTTTTAATCTGACAGTTAAGATGTCATCCTATTAACTAAGCACTGACCCTTCTTGACCCTGTATAAAACATAAAGTCCCCCACATGAAGAAGCTTAGTCTAAAAGATAAACAGAAAATAAGATCGGAAGAAGGTGTTACATTCAAGCATTTTCCTGAGTCACCATTTTCTCTTTTGTAGATGAGGCTGAAGGGATCCCTGCTGATGGCAATGGGTATTTGGGGATGGGATGACACCCCTTGACTTGTTCTTATGTCCTTGGCCTGATAGGAGGAGTGTCTAGATCAGCCACTGATACTTGTTACAGTATAGAAACCTGCCAGTTTATGAAGGTTTAGCTTAATTGGCAGTTGGCTATTTGACTTTTCTAAAGATATATACATCTGCATTTTTGTGTGTTGTAGATATATATTTGTATCTATTTGACTGTTTTCCTTCCCCCTCCTTTGTAAACTCTGGGGCAAGGACTGTCTCTCTGTGTCTGTATAACATGCAGCACAATGGGGCTCTGATTCTGAGTGGGGGACTGAGAGTACCACTGCAATACACACAATCTTAGAATATGACTGGCTGCCTTGATCATGCATCCTGGGCTTCCATCAACGGACCCCAGAGCTGGCCTGGAGTAATCCTGTTGCCCTCTCAGGAGAGGGCTGACAGGTCTTAATGCTTCAGTTCTGAGTTTCAAAGGAATAAACTGTCCCAGAAGCTGAGCTGGATCCTCTGTACCTTTATGATAACTGGGCAATGCAGCTTTAGTTCTGCTTCCCAGGACCAAACAGTCTGGATGCAGTGGGTCACACCTGGCTGTGACACAAGCAAGTTTATCGTGCAACGAACTTTCTTTTCCTTGGGACAGGCCCTTGTCATCAAAGCCCTTCTCCCCTGAAGTTAAGACAGTCAGCGTGGGAATTGGCACAAGGCCAGGCCTAGCAAGAGGAGCCAGCTCAGGACTGAGGTGTGTTGGATGCATGCTGACCATGTGGCTTGTCCAGGGCTGACTTCTGTGTGTCTAGTACTAACTTTTTCTCTTCACCAGATCTGACACTGAGACAGACGATACCATCCTGCAGAGGAGACAGAAGCAGATAGACTATGGGAAGAATACTGTTGGCTACCAGCACTTCCGACAACAGGTCCCCAAGTGAGGTGGTCCCTGGCTTTCACCTCCACTTCCCATATAAGCCTGCTGGTTCAGATTCCCCCACCAACTGAAGAGATACTTGAAACTGATGTAAAGTGACTTCCTTCCTTTTGATCCTGCCTAAAGGCAACTTCCTGTCCCTGCCTCCTTCCAAAAGTCCCAGAAACTTGGCATATTCAGGAGCCTTTGGAGCATGCTTCCTACATCCTATTGGGGACCTATTAGTGTTTGCTCCTGCTGGGTTAGGGTGGTCTTGATGCTGGGGTGAGGAATGTTTAACGGAAGCACCTGGTCACTGATAAATGTTATGCTTCATTCCCAGGGCCGCTCGGCAGCCAGGGATTCACCCCCAAACTCCAAATAAGTACAAGAAATATAGCCGCCGGTCCTGGGACATGCAAGTCAAGCTGTGGAGACGGGCACTGCATGCCTGGGACCCGCCCACCCAGCATCCTCTCCTGTGTGGACAAGGACTTCCAAGGAAAGTGTCTTCCAGTTGCCCGTGGCTCCTCTAGAGTCTTGTAGGGGAGAAACTCTTCTGGGAGGAGGAAGTGGCAGAAGCCTAGCAACATGAAATGTGGAGGATCCCCCAAATCAGTGGGTGTCCTTCCCAGCGCTTCCTAGGATCTCTCTGGATATAGTGGCCATTACACTGAGCTGCCCTAGGCAGCAGGTAGCTGGAGTGAATGGTATGTTAACATGCCTGGGAGCCTGTGAAGCTTGATACTCTGACACGGAGAGGTAGGTATCAGGAGCCTTATACCATAGAAGGGAGGGATTGATGCAAGCAAATCCTACCAGGTGCTCAAATGTCCCAGTGGTGAGTATAGTATAAATTCCCCAGTGTTCTGGAAAATGCTTCTCTGTGTTGTATGTGATGTGTGCCTACGTTGCCCTCTTCCCCAGCTGCATGGTGGGCATTGGGGAGAAAAGCCCAGGGGACTGGGACTCCAATTGCTGGGTTTGATGAGAGAGCAAGGACTAGGTCCAGCATCTCCTATCTCTTCCACCAGTGCTCCCTGGAGAGGAGTTATGCATACCCCTCCCAGTCTGGACACAAGGAGATGAAGGGCCTGATGATTTCTCCTAGGTTTGAACCATGGAGTGGGATGACAGCACTCGTTCATGTGATGACTGGTGCACCCAGTTACCTGCTGCTCCTTTTCACTGACTGGGTCAGTGTGATTTAAATTGCTGTTTGTTTGCAAGGCAGGAGATGGTGACTCTCTCAGGAATGATGGAGACAAACTCTTTGTGCGGCTTCTCAGAAGACTGGCCTGGTGCCCTGAGGCCTCTTGAAAACCTGCCAGGAGAATTACTGGGCGGACAGGTATTTGGGCTTTGATTGGGCTTGCTTTCTCCTGTTCCTGCTGGTGACAGGGACTTAGGGCAGCAGTAGGGAATGCTATTTAATGGTTCATTGCGAGCACAGGAGTACGTGGCACAGGGTGATCACCAGCTTGTCAGGAAGGGGTATTGTCTGTGAGGTGCAGTCTGGAAGTCTTGTGCCTTCCTCTGGACCCACTCTGATGCAGAAAGTATTGTTGGTCATTGTCCTGGGGAAGGGGAGAATAGGGGGGAAAGGATCCTCAGGGCTCAGCGTCCTCTCCAGGGGGACACTGTCATGCTTTGGATTGCGGGTGTGTGCATCTCACGTCAGGTTTGTTTTCTTTCCTTCCTATTTCTTTGTCTTCTGCCCTGTTTTCACAGTTGGCTGGCCTGTCATTTCCTGGCTGCTCGTCTCCATGGCTGCCCCAGATCCACTCAAACTTGCTGCCCTTCCTAGGAAATGTGCACACTTGCCCATACTGCTCCTGGATGGAGCTATAAGGAGAGTCCAGCGCATTTGTTGCCCCAAACACTGTCATTTCTGAGGTGTGGGAAGAGCTCAGGCATCAAGTTACATACAAGCCCAGCTGCAAGGATCTCCTGAGCTCATGGAGGACATTGAATTATCCTGAAGCTTGCCCCTGGGACAGAAAGGGGGCTTGGTGTTAATGTTCAGGCTTGGAGCTGAGCATCAGACCCCTTACACAATGCACAAACAGAGAGGTAGCTGCTGGGTTTGTATCTCTTCCCACAGCCCAACCTCCAACATTGTAGAGAGAACTTTCTGTCATCTCAGTATCTGTAACCCCAGGCATTGCAGTGAATGTCAGCACACATAGGACCAATTCTTTCTGCTTCCCTTCAGGAATCTGTTTGGTCTCCTGTGTTTAAGGGAAAGCTATATAGAAGGGGTTGGAAAAATGGAAACTGAGGTCAATAAAATTTCCCCAAAGACTCTATAATAGCTGCTGGCTGGGTTCTTTTTCTGTCCGTAGGCCTCTGGGGCTCTGCTCACCACAGGCAGGTTCAGGGAGGCTTTGGCAATTCATGAGGACTCAAATAATGGGGAGTTGTGACCCTTCCCGCAGTGTGGGCACTCCACAAGCTAAGTAAGAATGTCCCTCTGCGCACTGAGTAGCGAGGAGGGGGAATTCTTGGCAGCTGTTTCAGGCCCAGCCCAGAGGAGAGGTTATGGGGGAGGGGAGACGACAAAAGGCACAAGGAAACCATGAGTCTTAAGGGAGGAAGTTTGCCTTGCCAAAGGGTTAATGCCTCCTTAGGGGTTGCTGCTGCCCTTCTTGCCATTGGTTGGAGGTGAAGATGATTAAATATTTACCATGAACAGGATCCTGGAGATCTGCACTAACCAACCCCTCCACAATTGAATATGATGAGCCAGTCGGGAGGCTCTGGCCAGGCCATGCTCTAGTAACTACCTAGCACTTTCCTTCAGCGGTGGGAAAGGACTCCGAGGCTTGGAAATCCAGGGCCGGTGGAATCTGGGCAAAGAGGGTGTGGCCTGTGCAGATCTGGGCTAGAGGGGAAACTTCACTCCCTTCTCGGGGTCCTGCTGTAAAGTCACATGCCCTGCCAGTGACCCCACCACGGGAACAGGTGATGTTTCCCGCGCATCCTGCCCTTACAACAGGTTTCTTTGGGGGCTGAGTACCCCCCTTCCTCGTGCTGGCTACAGTGTATTAAGGGGCCTCTCCTGCTGCCTCCCTCCCACCCCACGTTGGACGGGGGCAGCTGGTGGTGCTGCTGAAGGGGATCCGCTGAAAGGAGACTCTGCCCCCCTCGTGTTGTTACTACCTCTTCCCTGGGGGCAGGGGGAGGCTGGTTTTGTGTGAGGTTATGGGGGGGGGGACATGGGGGCAAGGCTGGGGGGAGGGTGACTTTAGGAGGGATCGAAGAGGGTTGGTGGGGGGGGCCGCTCGGACGCCCCCCTTGACTACAATTCCTGTCGTCCTTTGCTGCACGGTACAGTCCGAAGGGGGAGGTGTTGGGGCTGAGCTGGGTGCGGGGGGAGCCCCGAGGTGGGGCTGCGCCAGATCCCAGTTGGTGACTCCGGCTTGGCCTCAGCGGGCGCATGGCGGGTGGGCCCGGCGCTGGCTTGGAGCGGAGCCACCCGGAGTGGTGGGTCCCGCCTGGCTCCCTCGGTCTGTGACGTGGGGCAACCTGTTTGGTCCCACAGCCCAGAAACAACTGGGGGCGGTGGGGCGCCTTGACCGCTGGGGCCCCTGCCTCCTCTGGGGCCCCAGCTCCACCTCCCTGCCCTCTCTGCTGGCAGTCCCCTGTCTCCTCCTCCCAAGCTAGCAGCCCCCGTCCCTCCCCAGCTAACAGCCTCCTGCCACTTTCAGACACAAGTATCAGCCTGCGCTGGGGCAGCAGGGGAAGGCTGGGACGATGTCCCCCTCATGCTGCTCTGGGTCAGTGCTGGGGGCAAGGGGGCCTGAGGCTGCTGGCACCTTCTGTGCTGGTCTAGTATTGCCATGGGGGGGGGAATGACTGGGCTGGATGGGCTGCTGATGTTGGGGGACCTTGCTCTGCTTCAATGTCTGTGTTTGATTTTCTCAGGCCCTGCGGGGAGACCTGCCCTCATCGCCAGGGTGCCTGGCACTGTAGCCTGTGAGCCTCTGTCCCTCTTTCTGCTCATGTGACCGGCTGTGGGATCAGTTGGCACTTGGTATGCTCGGAGCAGCTCAGGGGTGAGCACATCATTTCCCTGGGTTGAGGTTTGACTGGGCCCAGCAGCGTCCTGGATGAAGGGGGGTGAGTTGACTTGAAAGGGTTTAGGCTGAGAATGGAAGTTGCCGACTCCCGGGACAGCTGATGCAGGTGGCAAAGGGATCAGAGCAGTTGGCTCCTTTTACTAGGAAGCAGCATAAAGGCCCATAGGGTTAGGTTGGCTGTTTAGTTTTGCTTTCAGCTTTGGAGATTTCTTTGCTCACAGCCTTGGTGTGCTTCCCGCTGTAGCTTGCGTTAGATTAGGCAGATCAATTCCTTCTTGCTGCTGGATGTTGTGTGTTGGAAAACCCTATGGAAGCTAGGTGCTGTTGGCTTCCTCCTCTCACACACAGAGAGACTCCTTAAACCAAGTCAGCCTGCTCTGTGGTGGTGATCACTAACTGAAGTTGCAAGGGGCGCTGCATCTGGCTTCTGGTAGTAAGTGAGGAGCTGCTGCCTGTTGCTGGCTTTGCCCCATGTGGATCCTGGAGTTTGCACCCTGATGAGATTAAATTGTATAAATCATTGGTTCTCAACCAGAGGCCCTGGGGGGCCATGAGCAGGTTTCAGGGTGTCCACCAAGCATGGCTGGCATCAGACTGCCTTTCTGCCCTGGGCCCTAGAAAAAGCCCCGCTGCATGGGATTGCAGCAGGGGCCCCCGAGCCTCACCACCATGGGCTGAAGTTGAAGCCTGAGCAACTTAGCTTTGTCGTGCCCCCGTGGCATGAGACCCAAGGCCATCACCCTAACGGCAGCCTTGGCTGCTTCTTTGAGTGCTGTCCCTGTGGGTGCTCCACTCCAGGTGATGGTGCGTCCCGGCACTGTTACCTGGAGTGGAACACCCACAGGGACACATCTCGAAGAACCTCAGTTACTGCAAGGTGAGTAACTTTCTCGTTTATATGCAGAAAACAGTTGTTGTGGCACAGGTGGGCTGTGAAGTTTTATAGCAGGTTGGGAGGTGGGGGCCTCAGAAAGAGAGCGGCTGAGAACCCCTTGTAGAAATAACGCTTTTCTCTCTCTAATGGCACCCGCCAGAGGAGCTTAATGTGCTTTACTAATGTTAGTGGATTAAGTTTCCCTTAGGCATGTCTGGGGCAGAAAGAGCTGACATGCCTTGCCCAAGATAATACAGGGAGCCTGTGGCAGAACTGGGACTAGACCTCAGTGGCCCTATGCTGTAGCTACAGCCACAGCACTGTGCAACCTGTCCATTAGTTATTTTCATTACTGAAAGGGCAGAATGTTTATTGGGTCCCAATAAGATTGCTAATTCCACCCACTGCCCTAAGCTCGGGGTGGGGGTGGGGAGTTTGTTTACCAAAGTTGCTTCAGGGTTGGGGAAAGGAGATGATATTCCAACTGCTAAGGAGGGAGAATGGTTCATTTGGTTGGTGCAGAAACCAGAAGCTCGACCTGCAACTTGATTGGTCCTGAGATTACGGGAGGAAGATGAGGGCTAGCTATAGAGGCTGGGCTCATTAAGTGTGCCTGGGATGTGGGGGCTGAAGGAAAGAAGCCTTCATTGGATAGGGTGATGGAAGCAGCTAGAGCTCAGTGAGGCAAGCAAAAACCTTTGTCTGAGCCCCCCAAAAGTGATGAAACAGATCCTTATGGGATGGTGATGAGCTAGTGTATTCTGGGCCTGGGAAGGCTATGATTCTGGGTGAGGTGATTCTGTGGCTCAGATAAGTATCAGTAGCTTGTTTCAGGCTGTCTGGGGCTAGTTTCATTCAAGGAGACTTAGAGCACCAGTATTTGCTCTCTCGGCTCTAAGTAGCAAGCCTGGGGTGCGCAAGCAGGTTCTCTGACCTTGGGGCTGTGCCTGATGTTGCTAATGTGTCTGTTTGTGTTATAGGGTTGGTGGGGATGGAGTGAGAGGTGTCTAGCCAGGGATGAAGATGGTAATTCAGTAGGTATGGTAGCAGTATGATCGCCCTTGAACAAGACTGGACTTGTTGAAGGAGGAGGAAAGATAGCAGGAGGTAGGGGCTCTAAGGTTGTGTTGGTGCCAGGCCTCCAGAAGTCATGATTGCAGAGCGACCGCAGAAACTGAGTCTGGAAGAGCTGAAATGCACATCCTTCAAGTCAGCCTGGAAAGACGTTTCTCTGCCTCAACCTTGCAGGTTTAGTCCACTTTGGAAATATCAAGATTATTTTTAGTTGTGGAAGGTGGGGTCCACATTCTGCTTGTGTACTGAACCAAGGTCCCAGGGTGGTGTCAGTGGATGCTGTGCTGCAAGATTTGCCAGCTTTCAGGCTAGCTATAAAGTTGGAGCCTGTGTGACCTGTGGTCACTAAACAGCCCCAAGCATTTGTGGGCTTAACTTGTGGCCCTAGCTCGGGTAATCACATTCTGCCCTCTAAATTCTCCATGCAGTTTTGGTAGGATACAGCATTCCAATTCACTTCAGCCCTAAACTCTTGTGCAGCGCTGCTTGTGCTCGTATTGAGACTATTGTCCCTGTCATTGAAGTGTCCTCATATCTGCTGTGTGGGCAGCAAGCCTTGGGAGGTGTTCATCTTTTTCTCTTTTGTAGAGGTCTTTGGGATCCCTTAGGATGAAAGGCAAGTTGTTATGAGAAAGTATCTTCCTCTGTATTAGCAGGAATGTTGTAAGCAACACAAAGTAATTCTTCCACTCTACTCTGCACTGATAAGGCCTCAGCTGGAGTATTGTGTCCTGTTCTGAGCACCACATTTCAGGAAAGATGTGGACAAATTGGAGAAAGTCCAGAGAAGAGCAATAAAAAATGATCAAAGGTCTAGAAAATATGACCTATGAGGGAAGATTGAAAAAAAATTGGGTTTGTTTAGTCTGGAGAAGTGATGACTGAGGGAAGACGTGATAACAATCTTGAAGTATGTAATAAAGGGCGTTTAAAAGAGGAGGGTGATAAATTGTCCTATTCTCAGTAGTTAAGGAGAACAAGAGGCAATGGGCTTAAATTGCAGTAAGAGAGGTCTAGGTTAGACATTAGGAAAAACTTCCTAGCTGTAAGAGTGAATAGCACTAGAACAAATTACCTAGGGAGGTTGTGGAATCTCTGTAATTGGAGGCTTTTAAGAACAGGTTAGACAAACATCTGTCAGGAATGGTCTAGATCAGTGGGTCCCAAACTTTAACAACCTGTGAATCCCTTTCACTGAAATGTCAAGTCTCACGAATCCCCTCCTAAAAATGAACATTTCCAGGGATTTTCTCCTTTACCTGAGTATAAATTATAAAAGCAGTGATCTTGGAAATATAAAATTTCTTTTTGACATGCTTATTATATGCTTTTATTATTTATAATTACAGTATTTTTATTACATTATGAAAACAGCAACACTCTTCCAAGATCTCTTTCGTAGCTTGTATCACTTTGAATAAGCCCGTTATAAGACAAGGCTCCTACGTTTCATCAAGGAGTATCAGATGTGAAACAGCATGAAGTGATTTAAGAAGCCAACTCAGAGTTCCTCCTACACAAGCATTCAGGTCTTGAGCAGTCCAGGCAAACAGCGCACGTTACAACAAAGCTTAAACTTGTTCTTCATAATAATTTTAAAAACAACACTAGCTGCCTATTTAATTTTAAAAACAGCAAAAAATATCCACCTCCCTTTCTATTTCTTATAAAGAGTCTTGAAGTTTAAATCTCCTCAGTGTGATAGATATGCTTGCTTTGATCTGCTTAGCTCTTGGAAGTCCAGGGGCTCTGGGGTGCTGGCCCCATGCTGCCTGGGGTCCCTAGGGAAAGCTCTGTCCGCCATTAGGGAATTTTTCCCCGAGAACCCCCTGTAACATTTTGCAAAACCCCAGGGGTTCACAAACCCCAGTTTAGGAACCATTGATCTAGATCAGTGTTTCTCAACAACCAGTCCGTGGACTGGCCCCAGGGGTCCTTGCAATCTCCCTGACACAGTTTAGGAAGGCAGCAAACTAATCCATGGTATCAAAAAGGTTGAGAAACACTGGTCTAGATAATGCTTAAGGACTGAACTAGATGGCTTGTTGAGGTCCCTTCCAGACCTACATTTCTATGATTTTCCATAGTTCAGCATGTTACTAACTTTTTTGTAATAAGCCTGTTTTTTGTCTCCTCTTCCAACCCCCAAAATATTAACCCAAACAAATTCATTATGCCTGAAATCATATGCCTGAAATCGGGGGGGGGGGGGGATAGCTCAGTGGTTTGAGCATTGGCCTGCTAAACCCAGGGTTGTGAGTTCAATCCTTGAGGGGGCCATTTGGGATCTGGGGCAAAAATTGGGGGGATTGGTCCTGCTTTGAGCAGGGGGTTGGACTAGATGACCTCCTGAGGTCCCTTCCAACCCTGGTATTCTATGATTCTATGAAATCTCACCTGTGGTCTTATGCTCAGAGAAAACTTTTTTTTTGTTTGGGGGTGGGGAGAAATCTCTGCTACTTAACCCCACAGTTGCTCCTCTGGGATCATTGGCCTCTGTGCATAACTCTGGCGCCTGCTTTGGATCTCTGCTCCTGAAGGGTGAGGGGGATGTGGGCACGGGAGAAGAGAGGCGGAAGCACTGGAGTAGCTGCTTGAGCACTGGAGTAATGCATGAGTTGCTTGAGCATTGCAATGGCAGCATGTTGAAACTTACAAGTTGCTATTTGAGAGAGGCAAGGTAAGTGAGGGAATACCTTTTTATTGGACCAACTTCTGTTGGTGGAAGGTACAAGCTTTCGAGCTACACGGAGCTCTTCTTCCTGTCTGGGGAAAGAAGCAGAAGTTGTTGTTTGGAATTTCACTCTGCTTGGGTAGTTAACTTGAAAATGTATTTGGGACTAAGGAGGGCTTGAAGTTCTTGACCCCTCTCTTCAGGGCCGGTGCAACCACTAGACGAACTAGGCGGTTGCCTAGGGTGCCAAGTGGTTGGGGGCGGCAGTGGAGCGGAGGTAAGCTGGGACCAGGGGGCGCGGGGAGGGCCGCCTGCAGCAAGTAACAGGGGGGCGGCGCACAGGGGAACCGCTCCCTGCCCCAGCTCATCTCTGCTCTGCCTCCTCCCCTGAGCACCGCCCTGCTCTGCTTCTCTCCCTCCCAGGCTTGTGCGACCAAACAGCTGATTGGCACCGCAAGCCTGGGAGGCGGGAGAAGCGGTGGCATGCTTGGGGAGGAGGCAGAGCAGAGGTGAGCTGGGGCAGGGAGCTGCTGCAGGGGGGCTCCCTGGGCTGAAGGGGAAGGGGCGGCGCAAGGTGGAAGTTCCTTTCGCCTAGGGTGCAAAACCTCCTTGCACCAGCCCTGCTTCTCTTGCATCAGCAAATCTGTTTTGCTCCCAAACCTTACCTTGCTGCAGAGTAATTTTCCAAAGGGAAATTGTGTGGTAGTTCCTCCCTGCTTGTCCAGTCCTGAACCTAAGATTTACATTAGCAAATCTTCTCTCTCTCCAGACCCTGTCCCTGTCACTCCTCCTCCTCCCTCTGAGCTCCCGTGTTTTGCACCCTGCTGTGTCGAACCAGCACTGAAATAGCCATTGGCAATCAGTAGGATGGCTTGACTTAAATCAAAGTGAATTAAATCACTGATTTTATTAATGATTTAAGTCAACAAGCAGGAAACTTTAAATAATTGATTTTAATCTTGTTTTGCATTTGTACTTTTAGTTATTTTTCTAAAGAGCGGTTCATTCACATTGGTTGATATGTAGAATTGCAACTCAATATAAACTTCTTGCTAAATTTGATACTACTTTCTGCCCACCAGGAGGATACACTATATCTATACACATTTATTTAAGCAATTATGTAGATCAACATACATTCATTTGGATTCTTAATTTTTACATTTTTTATTGTTAGAACAGTTTTCAAACTTATTTGATCACCGCCCCCTTCTTTGTGTCTGTAGTAGTTTACACTCCCCCCCACCACACAAGTCATATACCGATTAAAAAAAATATCAACATGCAATTCTCACTAAATATTAAAAACAGTAAGGCATTGATTCAAACAGAAAGAATTAAAACAGGCTTTTTTGTTTTTCACTTGTTTTTTTCCCTGTTGCATGAATGAGCCAACAATCCATAGTAATAAGAGCAAAAGGAAAACTGTGATTGTGGTAGATGCTCACAATTAAATGTGCACACTGTGTTGTAGCAAACAGATTAACATACAGATTAGCAACTACTTTGTATAATGTTATGCAAATTTATCAGAAATCCATCAAAATGCACAGCACCTTCTGAAGACCTGATATGTCTGGGGCAGTGGTTCTCAAACTTCATTTCACTGTGACCCCCTTCTGACAACAAAAATTGCTACATGACCCACAAGGGGGTGTCACGGAGTCCCTGGGCGATGCTCTGGAACTGCTCCCCATGAAGCCAGTCAGGACTCTGGGGCAGTCGCCTTTCTGTGAGCAGCCTGTCTTCAGGACACACAGCTCACACAGCTTCCACCTTCCTGGGTCTGACCTCGGAGCATTCAGCATCCTCTGCCCCTCCGTGCGCTTCCCACAGCGAGTCCGCTCAGGCGGGGCTCCTGGGGAAGCCAGAGGGTCCTGCACCCCAACTTCGCAGTCAGACGTGACTCTCAGCCAGCCAGTAAAACAGAAGGTTTATTAGACGACAGGAACATGGTCTAACACAGAGCTTGCAGGTGCAGAGAACGGGACCCCTCAGCTGGGTCCATTCTGGGGGGCAGTGAGCCAGACAACCACGTCTGCACTTCACTCCATGTCCCAGCCAGCCCCAAACTGAAAACCCCTCCAGCCCCTCCTCCTCTGGGCTTTGTTCCTTTCCCGGGCCAGGAGGTCACCTGATTCCTTTGTTCTCCAACCCTTCAGCTCTCACCTTGCAGGGGGGGAAGGGCCCAGGCCATCAGTTGCCAGGAAACAGGGTGTCGGCCATTCTCTGTGTCCAGACTCCTGCACACACATGCCCTCTAGGGCTCTGCAATGATCATACACCCTTACCCCACCCCCTAGATACTTAAGAACTGCCTAGGGGAAACTGAGGCACCCCCACACTATTCAGAGGAAACATTAAGAACAGTCCCACTTCGTCACATCTCTCCCCCCTTCGAGATCGAACTGAGCGGGGTCACTTTAGCCGGTGACCTGGGGAAGTTCGAAGCCACCAACGTTCCCATGGATGCCCCAGCATCTCTCCCATTCCTTGGTAGGAGTTACACCAGGCCCTTCCAGTTTCACGCCCTCCCTTAGATCAGGGGTGGTCGATAGCACTCGCAGGCCGCATGTGGGAAGGTTTATGCAGCCCATGCCCTTTGGCCACCCCAAGAATGTCTCCCCATTGACCATCACCTTCTACTCCCACTGGAGGTCCGGGGGGCCTGGCCCCAGGAAACTCCACACAGACATATAGGTTGGGGTCAGGAGTGGGAGCCTGTCCACATCCCCAACCACCTGGCTGACGGAGTCTATGGCCTTGGGACCCAGCAAGGGAGCTAGACACCGGGGCTTTTCCGCAGGGTCCCCTTGGTTCAAATCGCCAGCCTGCTCAAAGGCAGTGAGGTGGGCATCCACACCCCCCCGCTCCTTAACCAGGGGCAGCAATCTAGTCTCGAGGTTCCCTGCGGAACTGGCCCCCCGGGATCTATCCCCACTCACCCCGGGGAGGTCCCCTAGGCCTCTCCGCTCCCCCACCGCCAGTTCATGCTGCTGCTGCTTCTGCAGCTCTTTCTCGGGCTCTCGCTGTCTCCCACGGTCCTCTTGCTCTCTCAGACTCAGCTGCAATCCCGTCCGTCTTGATCCCCCGATGGGGAACCCGATCATGAAGACCCTCGTCTGGTCGGGGACAGGAGTCTTGGCGATGCCTGGCTCCCGCTTCAGCTGCTCCCAGATCCTGCTATAGCCCCAGTTGGGGTCAGGAATCTGTTCCTTAGAGCGGTCATCCTCCTCCAGCTGCACGATTAACTCTGCTTTGGTGAACTTTCCAATGCTCAACCCTCTCTTTCTGCACAGGGTTACAATGTCCTTCTTAAGGAGACGGTGACAGGCCATCACTCCGCTCCTCCCAAGTTGTTGTGGACTCACAGGCCCGTGTGTTCTCAGCTCCCCACGGTTTCCAGGGAGAACCCCTAGTGTGCCAGCCCTTCTCAAGGTCACCACCTCTTTGCCAGGGTCGAGCTGCAGACTCCTCCCGCCCCTTGGACTGCTCACTGCAGTCCCCAGGGGGACCCCATTACTGCACAGTCCTTCTCGCTGGTCACACACTCCCAGGGGTTAACCGCCCCCCGAAACCGCTCCTCTCTGAGCCTTCAGCAGGCCTGGTCCTCGGCAATCCCCCTTCGTGTTACTGCTCCCCAGTCACTTACTGCAGGAAGCGCCATCCACGGGCTGCAGTACATCCCACCGCTGCCACCAGTTGTCACGGAGTCCCTGGGCGATGCTCTGGAACTGCTCCCCATGAAGCCAGTCAGGACTCTGGGGCAGTCGCCTTTCTGTGAGCAGCCTGTCTTCAGGACACACAGCTCACACAGCTTCCACCTTCCTGGGTCTGACCTCGGAGCATTCAGCATCCTCTGCCCCTCCGTGCGCTTCCCACAGCGAGTCCGCTCAGGCGGGGCTCCTGGGGAAGCCAGAGGGTCCTGCACCCCAACTTCGCAGTCAGACGTGACTCTCAGCCAGCCAGTAAAACAGAAGGTTTATTAGACGACAGGAACATGGTCTAACACAGAGCTTGCAGGTGCAGAGAACGGGACCCCTCAGCTGGGTCCATTCTGGGGGGCAGTGAGCCAGACAACCACGTCTGCACTTCACTCCATGTCCCAGCCAGCCCCAAACTGAAAACCCCTCCAGCCCCTCCTCCTCTGGGCTTTGTTCCTTTCCCGGGCCAGGAGGTCACCTGATTCCTTTGTTCTCCAACCCTTCAGCTCTCACCTTGCAGGGGGGGAAGGGCCCAGGCCATCAGTTGCCAGGAAACAGGGTGTCGGCCATTCTCTGTGTCCAGACTCCTGCACACACATGCCCTCTAGGGCTCTGCAATGATCATACACCCTTACCCCACCCCCTAGATACTTAAGAACTGCCTAGGGGAAACTGAGGCACCCCCACACTATTCAGAGGAAACATTAAGAACAGTCCCACTTCGTCACAGGGGGACCGAAGGTTGAGCCTGCCTGAGCCCTGCTACCCAGGCTGGGGGAGAGATGAAGTCCAAGGGCTTCTGCCCTGGGTGGGGGGCATATAACCTCAGCCCTGGGCAGTGGGGCATGGGTTTGGGCTTCCGCCCTGGGTGGTGGGCTTGGGCTTCAGACTTGCTGTGGCCCAGGGCCAACACCAGCCTTGGCAGGGCTCAGGCCCACTTTGCGGTCCCAACCCACAGTTTGAGAACCCCTGATCTGGAGGAATCAACTTTACTAGTTATTCATTGGTGTGGGCAAAATATGTGCAGTATTTTTTTCCTAATGCTTCTCATGCTCCCCCCTGAATACATTGTGTCCCCCAATTTCAGAGTGTTAGAAAATGGTGAGTGACACAATTCTTATTTACTAGATGATGACTTTCTACTTGTGATCTGTGTCAAGCTACATTAGGATGGAAATTGGAATTCAATTAAAAATTCTCAAAACGGCATTTTAAAATTGTTTTTATTTGCTAAATAAAACCATCTTAAATGTGCTGGAGACATAAAAAAGTAAGTTTATCAAAACATGTTACATCAGTATGTTTTAAATATATTAAACAAAGGAATTAACTGTGCTTAGTGAGCTGATTGTTTCTAATCACCACAGACCAGATTCTCAAAAGTATTTATAGAAAAGTGCATAGTGGGATTAGGTGCCTAACTCCATTGAAATCCATAGGAATTAGTTGCCCAACCTGCTTAGGCACCCAAAAGTACCTACATCTACATCAAGTAGTCTACATCTTTAGGTGCCTAAATACCTCTGACAATCTGGCCCCATATCCTTCAACTTCTTAAAATTAGTAGATCTCCTTTCCCACCTGTTTTTTATTCACAGACTAGAAGAGGAAAACAAGCTTTCCTGCTTTTTCAACTTCCATTTGGTTTCTCAACTTTGAAGTAGTCCAACTGAAGAAAACAGTCTCTCCATCTGCTACCTAAACTGAAACCAAAAGTAATTAAGGCAAAAGCTTTTCTGCACAAGAGAAACTAAAAGTACTTCCATTTGGAAAAAATGTGACTACCAGCATTCCTTCTATTGTAAAGACTGACAATAATATAGATACTTACTTAATGCAGCTCATGATGTTGTGGCATATTTATAAAACTTGAGTTGACCTCAAAAGTTAATGTTTCCTACTGATTCGGTGTATAATTAAAGAAGTAACACCCTCTGACTCATTAAAATTTGAGGAGGGCTCCCTGTTGCAGCATATTTTTCATTGAAGTGATTTTAATTGAATGTGGGGAGTTTAGGCCTTAAAGTTGCCATAATTTCAAATTTAATTTTAAACAGGTTTGATTTTTAAAAAGAAAATGTATTTAATATACTTTTTTTTTTTTAAGTGTGGGGGGGAGAGAAATTTTTATCCTGCCTGAGGATCAGTAAAAGGGGGAAGAAGATAACAGGAGAAGATGCTAGCTCAGTTGCTCACTAGGCTCAGACATGGATCATGAGGAGGGAGGATGGGACAGCAGGGTTTCACGACAAAGAACAGCACACTTCTTACACATACTTCCCACCATCAGTTTTACATGTGGCCAACTATTAGTCCATAACTTGCGCCCCACTGATGTGATGGTGGTAAGTGCCTCAGATTTGCTACTGCATCCAGCATCACAAGATGTTTCTGCTAAAGTGATTAGCAGTGAAATAGTTAATGGCATTGATACATAATCTGCTGTTGTGCTTAGGATTTAACCCATCACTAAATTCACATCTGCCAACTGTTGGCTGCAGCCTTGGCCCCAATCCAATTGTCAGCCCATAATTCAGTCATGTTTGGAAGGCTTTCTTCACAGCCATAAGGTCTAGAAACTTTAAAACAAAACCAAGTATGTTCTCCCAACACCTCCTGAGGCTCTCTGCTTTGAGTGTATTTCCTCAGCCCACGCACGCACCTTTCCCCAAGGGCCCCTCACTTGAGTGCATCCCTCCTAACACCCCCAGACCTGCCCCTTAGATGCTCTAGGTTGAGTGTCTGTCACTTCTCCACACACACACCTGCCCCCAAGGACCCCTGCTGATATTTTTTTTGTTTTTCAGTTATTCTCCTATATTTTAAAGTGTTTTTCCCTCTCTGCTGTAGCAGCTCTATTTGTAGAGGAATGTGAGACATGAACAAGAGGAGAAAACAATGTGACTGATGCCTAACAGAAGTTAACTGAAAAAAGAGACAGGTTTCAGAGTGGTAGCCATGTTAGTCTGCATCAGCAAAAACAACCAGGTGTCCTTGTGGCACCTTAGAGACTAACACATTTATTTGGACATAAGCTTTCATGGGCAAAAACCCACTTCCATCAGATGCATGAAGTGGAAAATACAGTAGGCAGGTGTATATATATTACAGTACATGAAAAGATGGGAGTTGCCTTACCAAGGGCGGGGGGGAGGGGTGGCAGTGCTAACGGGGCCAATTCAGTCAAGGTGGAAGTGGCCTATTCCCAGCAGTTGACAAGAAGGGGTGAATCTCAACAGAGAGAAAATTACTTTTTGTAGTGCTTACAAGGCCAATTCAGTTTCCCCTCTGTTGAGATTCACCCCTTCTTGTCAACAGGAATAAGCCACTTCCACCTTGACTGAATTGGCCCTGTGGGATTTGGAGAAGGGGCGTGGGGAGGAAATAACTCAGTGGTTTGAGCATTGGCCTGCCAAACCCAGGGTTGTGAGTTCAATACTTGAGGGGGCCATTTAAGGATATGGGGCAAAAATCTGTTGGATGATTTAATTGGGGATTGGTCCTGCTTTGAGCAGGGGGTTGGACTAGATGATCTCCTGAGGTCCCTTCCAACCCTGATATTCTATTATTCTAGTCCAGTTGGGGAGTGTTCAGAGATGATGCACTAGGTCAGTGAGGACTCCACAAAGGCTTGGAGATGCACAGGAGGAGGACACAAAAAGTGTCTAATTGTGTGGTTTGCACAGACTAAGGTAGGGGGGAGTGAAAAGAGACCAGAACAGAGGAGCTAGGGGAAGGTATGTGTTTGATACTATTTTAGTGTGTGCACTATATTTTCCTCTCTGATTACAATGTTGTTATTCAGGTGGCAGCAAGGAAACGGATCTACTCATTGGGCAGGGGCTGGGCACTTGCTAACTCAATAGGGTCTCTTGTATGATTGGGCCTGGCTGGGGACTCACTCTCCAGCCAGAACACCATGTGGGTCAGGAACTCCACTGGGCACTGCAAAAATCCACTGTAATCCTGTCTATGGTTCCACAGGGTGCTGTGATAAGTTTTGCAGAGGTGTCCCTTATCTGTTCAGTGCGTCTAGATCTGGAGGTGAAGCTTGTTATTGCTGCTGCTGCCTATAGGGATGTTGGGAGGGTTTCACCCTTCCTGTGATGCGGTGATTCTGTGTGTTTCCCTTCATAGCCTTTGCCTGGTCACACAGACGTGGCTTCTACAAGATGAACCAGGTAGGGTGTAAGGAGTGGGGTAAGAAGGGAGAGACAGGGTTTTTTGGAGAGGGGGTTGTTTGTTGGGTTTTTTTTGTCAATTTTTTTTAAGGCAGGAAGGAACTATTACTATCATTCAGTCAGATCTCGTGAACAATACAGACCAAAGAACTTCACCCAATAAATGCATTAAGCCCAGAATTTCTGTTTGAGCTATAGCATCTTAGAAAGATATCCAGTCCTGATGTAAAGAGTGCAATGATGGAGAATCTGCTAGGCCTGCAGAAAAAACATGCCCAAATTCCCCAAAGTAAAAAGCTAGGACTTGACACTTCAAATGTTCGAAAAAAAAGTCAGAAGAAAAACACTGTTTTAGGCTGTTGAATATACAATGAAAGGTAAACAAGTGTCATGATCTGGTCAGGAGGGTTTGTATCCTTGTTAATGTTCAGCCTATACAGGTAACTGCAGATGAAATTGTGTCCTATGTAAATGGCTGGTCCTCTTCTCTGTACAGAAGTTGATCCCAACAGGTGAGGATGAAGAGAGGTGCTGGCGGCTCTGTGTAAATCTGTATCTGTGCTATCACTGCAGACTGGGAAGAGGGAAGATTGTCAGGGCCATGTCATTGCACACCTTGCAGACTGCTCCTGTTCCATAACAGTCCAGGAAGCAGAGCAATTAGGGGCTGGAGCTGGTACTGCAGGCAGGGAGCCTTTCCCGGTGCTATGCTAGGGAAATCTCACAACACTGGTACATTCATCCTCCCTGCTAGCACTGTTGGAAGGAGGGCTCTGTTCTAGCTTCCTAATCTTTCTTGTTTGGTTGACAGAAGCAGTTCTCAGGAGGCCTCTGTTTCTTAGACAGGTCTGAGGAAGGCAGGGCTCCATCGTGGTTCTTGGCTTGCAACCCGCAAGCCCCTTCAGCAGCTACGGCCAAGTGCTGAGTGAGGAAGAGGAAGATGAGGCAAGAAACCGAAGCTGGCACCTGGCCAGCCAGAGGACGTTTTTCCAGCAGGACTTCAGGGACCCGGGCCGGACTGAAGAAGCGAGGGGTCGCATGTACACTCCGGAACTGCGGAGCCCCCCCCCCCGGCGGGAGCGTCGCGCCCACGGAGGAGGCCGCTGCTCAGGGCGTCAGCGGCCCTGGCCCAGATGAGTTTTTTTGAAGGAAAAAGTTAAAAGTTGCTTCAGTGAAACGTGTGTCGCGGGGCGGCGGCGCCGAGTCCTGCCGCTGGGCGGGGGCGCCGAGGCCCGCGCGGTCCCAGCGGCCGCGGAGCGGGGCCGGCTCCTGCAGCCGCTCCACGCCGGCCGCGCGCCGGGGCCCAGCGCGGTGACAGCGCGGCAAGGGCTGAAGCTGGAGCCGGCCCCAGGTGCGCAGCTCCGAACCGGCGGCCGCGCGCTGCCCGCGGCTCTGTCCGCTTCCTTTGCTCGCCGCCGGCGGGGCGGGGGAGGGGCGCTCGCTGGCGGGACCGGCCTGAGCGGGAACCGGATGTTGTTTCGGCAGAGCGGAAACGGAAGCGAGCGGCGCTCTGCAACGCGTCTCTATGGCCGCGGGTCCGTTCCGCGCCGGGCCGGACGGGGCGCTGCCCAGGGACGGGAGCCTGGGGCCCCGCTCGCCGCGGACTCGGCCCGGCCCTTCCGCTTCCTGCTGGGAGTCGGGAGCTGGGCCCGGCGGTGAGTGTGGGCTGTGGGGAGGAGCGAGTCTCCGCCGGCTGTGACGCCGCGGGCCTCGCTGCCCCCGCCCGGCCAGGGAAACAGGCGGGGGAGGGGCGGCCTGGCGGAGCGCGCGGGGGCCTGGCGCCGCCGCACGTCCGTGGAGCGAAGCCCCTCCGCTTCCCTGAGCACAGACCCCTCTGGCGCGCGGAGTCCGGCCGCAGGAGGGGCTGGAGCGGGGGGAAGTGAGGAGTCGCGTCCCGTCGTGGGGATTCCCCCGCCCGTTGCTGGCGCCCGGGCACTGCGCGATTTGCTCGGGTGGGGGAGGGGCCCACGGTTTTTCCGGCTCCGCACCCAGCTGCCTTGAAGGGACTCCCGGGGGCGAGGGCGTTGGGCTCCAAGGGTTCCGCCACTGGTGTGTGTGGCGTGGGCCCGGAGTTCAGGAATAACCCTAATATCGTCGCCCATCTCTTTTCAGCATTGCTCAGGGAATCCGAGCCAAGTATCCTGTGCAGAGGCTCCCCTCAGGGCTGCTCAGGTCAGTCTTGGCTTGTCTCATGGACAGACATAAAGTGAAGCGTCAGAGGCTGGACCGGATTTGTGAAGGTAACCCTCTAGCCCTTAAAAAGAAAAGGCGTGCTTGTGGCACCTAAGAGACTAACACATTTATTTGAGCATAAGCTTTTGTGAGCTACAGCTCACTTCATCGGACACTGCCCTGTTTCTGGAAAAGGGTGTTTGGGTGAGATGAGTAAAACTGAAACTCAGTTCCTACAGGCAGGGACAACTGGAATGACTCCAGTGGAACTAGGTGCTCTGCTCTCACTTCTCTTCTGTGCAGGCCACAGCCTAGAGATCCAGAGGATTAGGATTAAGATACATTTGGGGCATCCTCTTTAAACCACATCACTTTTCATCTCCCAGAAAATGCCCTGTTTTTCTGTTCTCGTTGCAGTGAATGAAGATTTTTGAAAGTCTTTAGAAGATGTAGTAGAAATTTTCACAGTGAGATTCAGAGCTGAGA